TACCCGTGAGAATCTTCTTGGAGACCACACCGCCAAGTTTTCTGTTAAATCCACGGGATACTTCCTCTCAGCAAAACATGATTAAATCTTTGTATTAAGATCAGTCAAACCATTTATTCTGTTTGTACTGTATGTTTGTATATAATTTATGTGCATATGTTTTTTTCAGGGTCCTGAAGAAACAAAAAACATATCATCTACAGGGAAAAATCCCCATGGCGGCTTCTTGAAGATCTACCCGATCAGGAGCCGGGTAAGGGAACTACAAATCCCGGTGAGAATGAGGCTTTTTTCTTTCTTTCTTTCTTTCTTTTTTTTTTACTAGATTAAAGAGCTCATCTATCTTTAGATTTAAAGGAATCAGTGAGGCTCTATGGATGAACCATCAACTGATCAACTTACCCAGAGCGTGTGAGACTCCGTGATTACCAGACGGTGCATCCCAAATACTGCTACTTTGAGCCAGTTTGTGACAACTGCTAACGTTTGAATGCTGACAGATATTTAAAGTTACCACACGTGGATTTTTTCCCCACTCAGTCATAAAAGGCTCAGTGGTGTATCTACTAAAAGTCTCGGACGAGTACGGATTTCGTAACCTGGACCTCACAGTCAAGGTCATAGGTCAAGTTTTCTGAAAATCTTGTGAATGCAGTCAGTTAAGAAGGAAAGCTTTATACCATAGGGTGCATGTAATAGGAGGCTGAGGGGTAGCACTGCTTTCAGTATTTTCCATGTTTAGACTATTGTTTTGTACTTTTATAGTTCATTAAGGTGAATCTGTTTTACAGGATGCTTTACCCTTCCTTGAGGAGCCACTTACAGCCAAACACCTACCCTCAGCAGTTCAATCAGGGCGCAGACGTAGGGGCAGACCCAGGAAAAATGACCCTCTCAGTTCATCTAACAGAGAGTGTTCAAAACCACCCATTCTGGCACAGCCTGCAGATTTCTGTGTTGCGGATGAACAACTTGAGAAAAACCAGGAGAGACGTGAGGAGGAGTTGGCTGCACAGTCACACGAAGAGGTGGGGGGGGCTACGAGGAGGGGACAGAAGAGGGGAGCAGAGTCAGACGAGGATACGAGTGATAACGCCACCGTGGCCAAGAGGGCTTGCTTTGAGACACCGACACAGCCACCCACCTCTGAACCTGCAGCCACAGATCCTGAGGAGACAATCGATGTAGAGACCGTTTCTTTGACCGGAGCCTGTTTACAAGAAGAAAAAGAAAATCTCCCGTGGAGTGAACTCAGACTAGCTGAGGGAAGTCTGACAGATGAGGAAGTACAGAGCAGCGCTGATGAGATCATCGATGTGGATGGAGACGACGAAAACGTTGAGATAAAAGAAGAGATTCAGACTCAGAGCAGAACAGCGCCGACTGTGTTCGCTGACCTGCAGCCTTCTGTTTCACCCTCACAGTCTGCAAATGGAAGCGGGGACGCTGTCAAAGATGAGGTCATCGATGTGATTGGAGGCTCCAGTCCCGTCCCTGAACCGGTGACCATCACGTGGACAGAGTCTTCAGAAGGTGAGGAAGAAGAAGGAGGAGAGCTGGACGTTGATGTAGTCGGAGAACACAAAGACAGCGCTTCATCAGTGATTTTCACCGCTGTGATTAAAGACCTTGTCAAGGGAAACGTTCAGACTGAGGTGCACTTTCATTAACACCTCTAATGCCCTCTTCTTTTCTGTTCGTGTGATTGCTTACATTGGTTCATTTAACTGCGTCTATTTCAGGGCTGGTGACAAATGGTCGACGTAGATGTTCATAAATAATTGTCTTCTCTCTGTATTGTGCTCACGTCCACGTGCAAACATGCTGACAATCACACCCAGGATGTTTGTTTTGCTATTCCACCGGGGTTTAGGATAAACGGAGCAATATGTGTCATTTGTTTCAAGCAGTGAGGAAAGACCTGCATCCTAATGCGTAACATTGTGAGCTTAATCAGAACAAAAGGACGTGTGTTTGTGTGAAGTTTAGTTTTAAGCTCTTCGGCTGAGTATATAGAGACAGCTGGGATTGTTCATAATTGAAGAATTTTATGTGTTACAAGTTTAATATTACTCATTTGTAACTGTTAAGCAAAGTTTTTTTTTAAACTGAAGTATTGGAAATACATTTAAAAAATCAGGTTTTTGTATGTAAAGAAAGCGTGTTTTATTAGTTGTACATATGACAGTAACCGTGCATTACGCCTTAATCACGCTTCAGCTGAAAATCGACATCACAACTTAATCTTCCACGGCGATCAGAGTCGACCTGACCTGTAGTTGCATTTTTCCAGAGCTGCACGTCAGGTTACGTTGTAAGTTACGACGTAGATTTCCCGCTGAAGCGTAACTCAGTTAGTTGTAAATATGATTGGTCATATATATATACATGTATGTCAGCTTCTGTTCTGCCAAAAATTTCCAGAAAACTTTCAGCACTCCTTGTTTTTATGTTTGTTTTCGTTTGCTAATGTTCCCCGTGGCACTTTTGGTTCAAGGATCTGTTTCCTGTAATAAAGATTTTTCTGTGATGCTTGTGACCTTATTACTGCGCAAGTGGATCTGAAACGACAAACAACAACAAAAGCCTCAAAAGTCCAATCCTATTTTTTTAGCTTCCGATCAGCCAGACTCTTGAGCAATAGTTCTTCAGTCTTTCTGAAGGTCAGGGTTTTTCTTTGGACACTTCTTTAGTTAAATCCATTAAAAAATGCCACAAATTGCTAATCCATAAAAAACACAGTTTGACAGACAAAGTGTTTCCGAGGTTAAAGCTCTTATAATGAAAGATGTTCTAAGGTCGGACAACTGTACACTATTTTTTTAAAACATGCCTCATCCAAAAGAGGAAAAGGAGCATACAGCTTGTTATCAGCACTCAGTTTTCAGTGTCATCAGTGCCTATGGAATTGGCAGCTTTGCACATCTGGAAAGGCACCGTCAGTGGTAGAGGGTATATAAAAGTTTTAAAGTAACATATACTCCCATCTGAACATCTTTTCCAAAAAAAAGCTGCATGTTTGAGCAAATCAATGCTAAATCACATACTGCATATATTAAAACAGCATGGCTTCACAGTAGAAGAGTCTGGGAGCTGAACTGTCCTGCCTGCAGTCACCATCTGAACACATTTGGCATACGATGAAGAAGACGAAGGACTGTCGAGCTGCTAGAATAACAAGAACAACATTTCTCTGCCAGAAGTACAACAACTGCTCTCCTCAGTTCCCAGATGTTTACAGGTTGTTAAAATATATGTTTTCCATATTCTATTGTGAATAAAATATAGGTTTATGTGATTTTCAAATAATAGCATTCTGGTTTTAGTTATATTTTACATAGTTTCCCAACTTTTTAAAAAAAGATTGGAAAACATAATCTTTTTGTTTTCATTTAGTTTGTTTATTTTCTTAAGATGTACTGTGTTTGACTCTCAGTCACTGAGAGCTTCCACAGATTAAAAAACCCTCAGTATTCATCATTCTCTCCACTTGCCTCTGCTGTGTGTTTTTTAATTAGTCTGGCAGAAACACTTAGAAATGCAGCGCAACATGACTAGCATGAAAAACTTCTAGGAGAACTCCTGTTGCATGTTTTTGTGTCCTATCAAGGTTTATGTTATATTTGAACATGATGCTGAGAGAAACTTCAGCCCTGCAGGTGATGTGTTTCATACTAGAAGAGAAGGAAGGGAAGGAAGTGGGCAGCCCACTTTATTCACATATTTTTTTTCTTTAGGCTCAAATTTAATTACATACAGAATTTGAAATAATGAAAAAAAAAAGAATACATGAAGTGAAAATGAGTTTATTAGTTATCAACCTGTGGACCAACCTCCTACACACAACTGCAACAAAACACATCTGAGCTGCACCATATCACAGTCTGCTGCACTCAGTGAGGGACTGCAGCCTGGGAGATTTTCCTGGACATGGCACCATGTTGGAGCTTCGTCTCCCCTCGGTTTGAACTCCTACGCTCATCGCCGAGCTCAGGCGGGAGTACAGCGCAGGTGTGTGCTTGTGTGCGGGTGTGTAGCGACCTCTAAACCAAAGTAAAAAGACACAGTGTGTGTGTCAGTTATGTCGGTGTGTGTATGCGTGTGGAGCGTGTGTTTCCCTGTGCTTTTAACAGTGCGATATTGTCTCTTATCACACTCTGGCTGTAAATCAGTAGTAGTGGTGATGTCGGGTTGGGGCAGCTGTCGCGGCTCAAGTCAAGATGAAGGAAAGGATTGAAGAGAGGAAGATAGAGAGGAGGGGGGTATGGGTAAAAGGAGGCGGGAGTTGAGGGGAGCTGCTGTCCGTGGGCCGTGGCCTCAGTCTCAGCCTGTCCTCCTCTCAGTGCTGGATGCGCCTGATGGACTGGATCTGGGGGGTCTGACAGTGGGAGCCCCAGTTCCTCCAGTGCTGGTAGTCTCCACTGTGTCTCTCACACTCCATGATGTACTGCTGGCCTCTGTAGCCAGGGTACTGGTAGCAGACAAAGCTGTGGGACAGATGGAGAGGACAACAGAGTCAGTTTTCAGTAGCTGCTGTCAGAAGTAGGATTTAGTAATGGAAATAATATGTGCTGATGATGGATTTGAATTATTTAAAGAGTACAGTTTTATAGGAAGATGATGTTTAATGGTCACAAAATAGGGACTGCGATGAATATTTGGTTAGGTGCACCATCCCCATGTCAATTTTTAGGGTGAAACTTACGCGCCACACTGCACGTGCATGGAGCCGACTTCAGGCATCATCCATCCCATGGCCTGCAGAGAAGGGTAGTCATCACAGATCTCCACGCTGCGGCTCAAGAAGTTCTCCTTCTCAAAAATGAGCATGCGACTGCTCTGGTGGGACTGAACAGGACAAAGAAATCCAAGAGTTAGGTTTGAGATTTCAGGGTTCAAAAGGAGGATGTGGTTGGACCCTGAGAGAGTCGGGGTGTACTCACGGCGCAATAGATGGGGCGCAGAGACATGAGGCGCTCCACGTGGTAGGAGATGGAGCCGCTGTAAGCGTCCCAGTGGGGGTACTCTCCTCTCTCCAGGATGAACTGCTGGCCCTGGAAATCATGGTGCTCGAAACCCACCCAGCTTCACAGAAGAGACACAGAGAGGCTAGTTTACATGATGCTCCCTCTAAGATTTGGTCAGTAATGTAGGTTTTTGTACCGCTGATAAAATCTCGGCTCTTCTTTTTGTCTCCAAAGTGAGATTTACAGTAAAGAAACAACTTTTTTTTCAACTGCAGGTGAGCTACAATTAAAAAAAACCCCACATCTTTGTATTCTTTTTACAAGAATTTTTAGTGTTTTTTAGTGTTTGGAATAGATGTGATCAAAAGAGGATTAAGCCTATATATATTTCTTTAACTCTGTGCCGGTCCACTGGGTTTTGTTTTCATCTATTTGTTATTAGTAACAAAGAGAGTTTTGAGACTTACGCTCCGCTCTCAACCCTGATGGAGCGGATGTTGTCCAGTCCGCACTCCTGGATGTTGCAGCACTCGGAGGTGAACTCCAGGCACTTGCCCTGGAAGTGCTCCTGCTCAAACACGGTCACCTGTGGAGACAGATCAAAGTGGGGAGGAGTTTAGATACTGCTGCTCCAAAGGCTATAACAAAACATTTCATATACACCTCCTCACGAGCATTTGTTTACCTTGAAGAAAGGAGCCATGCCCATTCCTGAGGTAACCAGCGGCTGGATCATTGGGGACCTTGTAGTTCTGTACATCTTTACTCCTGGATGTGTGGATGTAAAGTAAAGAACAGGAAGTTTTTGGTGAAACAGTGTCAGAGATAGTAATAATTAAAAATAATAATTTAGCTAAAATAATCAGACAAAAACACGCTGGTGTTCGCGCTCACAGTAACTCCACCTCAAACTCCACCTTCTGCATCGTTTATGCTGCACAGCTACGACATTTGAAGGGTGGTCTGGCCATGAACAGCTAATTCACACTTTTAAAGCAAATATATATATATATTTTTACAATCTGACTGACAGCAACAGAAGTGTTTCACAGGTGTCACAAAGTGCTTTTGGATTTCAGTTTCTGTGTGAAAGCACCACCTGTCTGTCGGACCCTGAGCTGAGCTGAAAGCAGAGATGCAGCCTTACCTAGAATGGCACTTTATTGGAAGAGCTCGGGAGTGGTACGCGCCTACCGCCTGCCTCGCGTAGAGCTTTCAGAGAACCTGGCGCTTCAGTTTTATATCGACGGTCGGGGAGCGCGCCTACTTCTGCGCGTTCGCGCGTACGCTTCGGACCATGCAAGCTCTCCGTTTTGACACAGTAACCATACGCGCGCCCCCGGAGCTGCTGTGTGGCCTCTGGACGCTGTTGTCCCCCTCCAGCGTCTAGCTCAGCAGATCCTAAACTGCTGCCGAGGCTCGGAAACAAAAGGCTCTCCAGTATGTTCGGACCCCGGTCAGCAGTCCAGCGCGTGCCCCGCGCACAAAGGGTCTGGATCGGGGCGGAAAATGTGGGGATTAACGGCGCGGCAGAGAGCCACGCATAAAGTTTTAACTGGGTCGGTGTGAACGAGTGTACAGAAATGGAAGTGGAAAAGGTTTACGTTTTCTCTTGTTTAATTAGTGGCATCTAATCTAAGCTGCTTAACCCTAATGATCAGGAAGTTTGACCTAAATTACCAGTCAACAGTGTAACTGGTACCTTCCAGTTACATCCCAGTTTAAACACCTATTTATTCAAAGTCAGGTTAGATTGTGCAGCCTGTTGTTATGTTGCCAGTTGTTGTCTGTGGGACATGAAAAAGGTCGTCTACATCATACAGTAATGAACCTTTAAAAAACATAAATACACATCTGACACTTTATTTAAAGGGCGGCTCTGTTTTATAGTTTTCAGTCAGGGTTATAAAACAGCTTACACATTTTTACTCTTCATACATTCTGTTCCTACAGTCTGGGGAACTTGGTTTTATTTTAATTCACGCATTCAAGGGGAGACAGAAGACTAAACTGTCTGAAATCTAAACCTGACTACTTTTTAATTGGCCAGTCTGTGCTCCAGCTGGTGTCTGTCCTCCTCTGTCTCTGCCCATCCCCATCACCCTTGGTCCGTCCCTCTCTGATGATGTGGGGTTTCTTTTGTCTCTTGTCTCTGACCTCAGCGAGTTTCTTTCTCTTCCCATAATCCCTCTCCTATGTGCGCCAGCGTATAAAAGCGAGGGGCGCACTCCGAGCCACACACACTCTGAGTGAGGCTCGGCACAGGCATCGCACACACAGGTAAGGTACACGCTCACACGCCAGCAGGAGGTCCAGCGGCAAGCGGAAAGGGCATAGATTAGGTTTAAGCTTTCCTTTACCTTTAATTTATTTGAGTTCCTCAACAATCTCGTGGCAATACGAAAGGCTGCACTTATCACACGAATAAACAATCTCTCCCTATTTCTCCCGTTTCTCTTTCCACTCAGTAATCATGTCCAGTGGAGATAAATCCAAGACTTCTTCCCAGACTGACGGAAAGGCTGCCCAGAGCAAGAAGTCAGAGATGGGAATGATGTCCTACAAGGTGGGTGGTTCTCTCCTGTTTCAGATACAGATAACAGTGGCTACGCTGAAAAAATTCACATCACAGACCCTTACTGATGTTGTTCTAACGTATTACTTTCCTCCAGATGTACGTGTTCGACCAGGAGAACTTCCAGGGTCGCATGATCGAAATCAGCAATGAGTGCATGAATGTGTGTGAGATGGGCATGGACCGCGTGCGCTCCCTGCGTGTTGAATGTGGACCGTAAGTGTCAAATGAAATACACTTGTGTTTGTGCATCTAAGATTGAGATTGGATGCTTCATGACGCTTCCTCGTCCGCAGCTTCGTGGGCTTCGAGCAGATGAACTTCTGCGGTGAGATGTACATCCTGGAGAAGGGAGAGTATCCCCGCTGGGACTCCTGGAGCAACTGCCAGAAGAACGACTACCTGCTGTCCTTCAGGCCCGTCAGAATGGTAAAAATCTTCTATTTCTTTAAAACGTCACTTTTTTCCCTCTTTAGACTCCCCTCTAAATAAAACCTCTGTCTCCCTCTATTTTCCCATGTGCCAGGACCCCGAGAAGCACAAGATCTGCCTGTATGAGGTTGGAGAGTACAAGGGCCGCAAGATGGAGATCATGGACGATGACGTCCCCAGCCTGTTCTCCTATGGCTTCACCGACAGAGTGGGCAGCATCATTGTCAGCTGTGGAACGTGAGCGTCAAGCATCAGTGGAGCTTAAACACCAAATTTAAAGGCCATAAAAAACAAATCAATTGACATGTTTCATCTTTTTTTCCCAGCTTTGTGGGATACCAGTTCCCTGGATACCGTGGCAGCCAGTACCTGCTGGAGAAGGGCGAATACAGGCACTTCAATGAATATGGCGCCCGCCATCCTCAGTTCCAGTCTGTGAGGCGTATCCGTGACATGCAGTGGCACCAACAGGGCTGCTACACCATGGCCAGCAAGTGAGGCTCAGGGAAGGAGAGAAAGAGAAAGAGCGGAGGTGAGGGAGAGGGGCGGAGGAAGCGGGAAAGGGGGAGAGACGTCTGAGGCCTTTACCTTAGTGCCTTAAAAAGGTCTTTGATCTAATGCAGTGAGGGGAAGGGTGAGGATCTATGTCTGCCCCTGACTGGAGAAAACACCTCAGTGGAAGGGCCAGCTGGACCACAAAACCATCAGACCACCCTCCACTCCTCTCTGTTTCTACTCTTCTCTTTCTCCCCTATGGGCTGAGCTTTGCTTTCCTCCCTTTTCTTCTTTTATTTTTATTTTTAGTCCCTCGCTTCATTCCCCTCCACAGACCTCTGAGACACAGTAGAGGGAACAGAGTGTCTTTTACTGTTTTACACACACGATTCTCAGCTCAGGGTATGATGCACCATGGGAAACTGAGTCCTTAGAGCCCCCTGCTCCCTCGTCTTCCTGCCCCTGTGCATTGCACACCCTCTCTGCTGTACAGAATCCTGGCCAAGTTTTCAATAAAAAGGAAAATCTTGATTTCAAAGATGTCGTTGTTGTTACTTATTACATAGAAATCACTTAAATTAATATAAATCAATAACACATTATTTTAAAAAATGGATAAAAATGTGGACAGCC